AAGTGTTACTATGCACAAGAAGGCTGTGGTGTACCTTAAGGAGAAAATCCATGTGTTAGATAAGCTTCATTCAGGCAAGAGTTATATACTGTTGTGGGACATGTGTTCAATGTTAATGAATCAACAATACTGTACACCAAAAAAAAGGAAGAGGAAATTCACTGATCTGTACGTGAGGTGGATCCTGAGAGTGCTAAAGTAAATGTTGTGACCAGAAGCTCACAGGAACCTAACCCTGGATTTCCCTTAGGAACAATGTTTCAGTATTTGTGGCAACTTTATGGAACATAACTACCATGAATGATTAGAACTGACAGTGTGTATATATGAATATATACATATAATATATGTATACTATATATGTATACACACACATATATGAACAAGAGCCACTAGATAAATAGTTAAAAGATATGAATAAACAATTTTCAAAAGAACTGCAAACTATTAACAAAATGAAGGATTACTCCAAATGATAAATGAAATACAAATAAAAAACAAGACTCCAAAGTTTCCCTTAACATGAAGCAAACTGGCAAAGATGGAAAACAGGAAAAGAGTCAATGGTGCAGAGGAATGTTCCCCCCATTCTTCTCTGACTATTGACCTACTTAGCTTTCTTTAAATCCCAATTAAAATCCTACCTTTCCTATTTATCTTCTACATAGTTTGCTTTGCATATCTTTGTACATTGTTTCCCCCATAAGATTGTAAGCACTTTGAGGGCAAAGACTATTTTTTACCTCTTTTTGTACCCCTAACACTTGGCTATTAGTGGAGCTGTGAATTGGTCAGACCATTCAGAAGAGCAACTTGGAATTAGGCTAAAAAAAGTGATTAAAATGTATTTGCCCCAGATATTCTGCTGCAAGGCACACCCCCCCAAGAAAGTTTAAGACAGGATACATCAAATACATATTCATCAAGGTATTCATGTCAGCTCATTCTGTGGTGGGGAGCGACTAGAAACAAAGTAAACACTGAGTAGAGAATAGCTAAACAAATTGTGGCACATGAATGTATTGCTACATTACTGTGTCCAAGAAGTGACAAATATGAAGAATTCACAAAAGAATGGGAAGACATATCAACTAATGCAGAGTTACAAGAACCAAGAAAATAGACAAAATTACTAAAAGAATGTAAATTTAAAAAATTTAACCTAACAATAATAATGATGACGATGATAGGTTAACATTTACATAGTGCTTACTATGTGTCAAGCACCACGCTAAGTGCTTTACAAATATCTCATTTAATCCTCACAAAAACCCTACAACATAGGTACTATTATAATCCTTGTTTTAGAGATGAGGAAATTGAGGCAAACAGAAGTTAAGTAACTTGCCCAGAGTCAGACAGCTGGTTACTGTCTAAGGTAGGATTTAAACTCGGGACCTCATGTCTCCAGGCCTGGCACTCTATCCACTGCACTACCTAGATGCTATATACTGTATAATTACAATGAGCAAGCTTGGCCCAGTGAAGAGTAGAAAAAATGTTTCCCTCTGTCCTCTTTCCAGAGGAGGGTCAAAGGTATGGAATCTTGAATATACAGTCAAATTCAGCTTACATCTTGGTTTTAGTGAAGCGCCTTTGGAAAAAAAAAAATTCTTCTTAAATCTTTTTACCAGGAATATATTGCAGGACAAGGGAAGGAAGGCATACACTAGAAACGAAAGTGATAAACAAAGGGTATCAACAAAAAAGGGAAAAAAATTAAAGGATAAAAGCAACACATTGTGTGCAGGAATACTGTGCCAAGTGCTAAACAAAGGGCATTACACAGATCTGGTCCAGTGGAATATAAGCTCCTTGGAGGCAAGGACAGTTTCATTTTTATCTCTACAGCCCCACCACCAAGCAGGGGATCCTGCACAGTTAAGAGTTTAACAAATAAAAATTGAAAACCACTACAACAAAAACATCATGCCTCACTAGCTTTCTATTCCATATAGAATAAATTCTATGAGCCTTAATTAACTCCAATAATGTGTCCCCAACATATCTTTCCATATTTTTCTACCATTACTTTCCCTTTAAAAAAAATCCTCTGTTCCAATCTAACAGGCCTGCACGCATATTTTGTGCTTTCCTGGTGTTCTGGTTTTGCTCATTTTACTCCCTCTGCCTGAAATTCACCATCACTCCTAATTCTAAGCAATATTTATCTCTCAAGGATCAAATCAAATTCTACTTAAAGCATTAAGTTTTTCATGGTTACCCCAGGTTGGTAATGATCTTTTTATCCTCTGGACCTTTAAAGTCCCTGATTGGACCAGTTATTTAGCACTTATTTCCTGTTATGGTTCCAGTTTTCTTCCAAATATGAATAAATTGTATCTACCCAACTAAAGAAAATGTGAGAGACAGAGTGCAGTAATGGCCTCGGGGCCAAGAAGACCTAGGTTCAAGTACTACTTGTGCCACACACTCATCAACAACCTTCTTGGGTTAAGTCACTTAAGCCTTCTGTCTTCTATTCAACTCTCTAAGATTATACGTTGCAAAAAAGGTGCCAACCCGTGAGTTCACTATATCAATGAAATCATAGGTCCAGTCCATTCTCTAACTACAGACATACCATTCTGGGTACAGGGATTATAAACTGCTGCTTCTTTTGCTCTCTCTACAAAACCCACCATAGTATTTTATACATAAGCCGCAATAAATACTTGTGATTGATTCAAAAACTGTTCTGGGAACTTCAGTCACTCAGATATGCCTTTTCCTATTGAACAGAATGACAAAACGAGCTTTTAGAGATCAGCTGCCTTAGACAAGGTATTAAAGACAATGGTTAAGAACCCATGCTATAGGCAGGAGCTCAACAAAGCTATCTATAAGGCAGGGTTGCAGGTACCAAATACAGAAAGACAAAAATGAAACATTCCTTGCCCTTGAAGAGTCTTGGATACAGGTGCCAAGTATTATTTTATTTGTGCCACTCAATCTCTACATATGATCTCCTTTGGCGTCATTGTTCAGTTGTTTCAATCATGTCTGACTCTTAATGACCACATTTGGGATTTTCTTGGCAATGATACTAGAGTGGTCATGCCCTTTCCTTCTCCAGTTTCTCTTTACAGATGAGGACAGTGAGGCAGCTGAGGTTAAGTGACTTGCCATGGGTCATACAACTATTTGTCTGCGGCCAGATTTGAACTCAGGAAGATGAGTCTTCCTGACTTCAAGTCTGGACTGCTATCCACTGTGCCATCTGGCTATGTTACATATGATCTCCACACAAGATAATCACTTAAGCTTCTGAATTCCAGGGCTATCTCTGACTCCACTCGTTTGCTGGCACATAGTAGGCACTTAATAAATATTTATTGACTGACTCATTTAACAGATGTGGAAAAGTTGGGCAGTGTCACACGTTGATAAAGTATCTGAGGCAGATTTTGACTTGAGGTCTTCCTGACTCCAAGTTCAGCATTTTATGCACTATACTATCTAGTTGCCTCAATGTAGTGTGTACTATGTACCTCAGAGAACTGAAGTTTTAAGTTGTTTTTTTTTATGTAAAGTGTTTTTATAAATATGGAATCTGAATAGTTTCTATTATCATCACCAAATGGTTCAAAAATGACACTAAGAAGTTTAATTAACTTTCCTAACTGGCCAACACCGCTAAGAAACAACTTGGCAAAGTCAAGAAGAATAAAAATGTTCGAACTAAAAGGGGTCTTAGTGACCTTGCATTTCATAGGTGAACCATCTGTGATCTTGAGAGGTTAAGTGATTTGTCTGAAGTCCAACTGCCAGTAACAAATCCAACACAAGGATCCCAGGTCTTATGAATCCAAGTTCAGTGCTCTTAAGAATCCCTGATCTATTTAATCATTTTAACCTCATGGGCACCCTTATCCCTTTGCTGTTAAATCGACAACATTGTATTATTGCCTATTTTCCATGTCTCTGATGGTCCCTTCCTTTCCATGCTCACTTTCCCCACTGAAAACACTCTGCAATCTACCCAGGATGGTTCATCCTTTCTAAAATTATTCTCTGAGGTTAAATCAATCAAAACCAACGTGCCTGGTACTGTATTAGGTGTGGGATAGACAAATATAAAGGATGAAAACAATCCCTACTTGAAAGAAGCCTACATTCTCATGAGGGATGACAAGGGCACATATATGTTCATATATGCATGTATATGAATTTATTTATATATGTACAAATATATGTGTAAACTTAAATGGAAATATAAATTTATACAATATGCATGTGTATATATGTATATGTAATTTGTAGATATATAAATGCATATATGTATAAACACATATACATACACACACACACACACACACACACACACACACACACACACACATACTGTCCCAAAAGTCTTAGAGCATTACACATTTCAATAGCTTAAAACTCTATTAAGACTTTGAGTCTGACTATGTTATTGTTCATTCCCACCCAACTCTCCTTGACCCCATTTGGGTTTAGGTTTTTTTTTTTTTTTGGCAAAGAGGAATGGTTTTCCATTTCCTTCCCCGGCTCATTTTACTGATGAGGTAGACAGGATCCAAGGTTAAGTGACTCAGCCAGGGTCCCACAGCTAGTAAGTGCCTGAAGCTGGATTTGAACTCAGGAAGAAGTCTTCCTCACACCAGGCCCAGCGCCACCTAGCTGCCCTTTGGAAATATATATGTGTGCATATATGTACATACACATGACATAGCCATACACACTATGTATACAAGTGTGCATACCTGTATATACTTATGTAAACACGCACGCACGCATGTATATGTATGAAGTAGCATGATGAAGCAGGCCGGGTGTGTGTTTGAAGGGGGGCTTCCAGCGGGCACCAGGGAGAAGGTAAATCTCGTCATTCCCCTCATCCCCAATATCGCCACGCTCCCAGGCCCAGCGTACCGCTCCCGGGGCCCTAGGCCCCGTCTCAGGCCGGGGCTCTCCAGCCTCCCGTCTCCGGCCTCCCACCCCGGGAAGGAGAGAGAATGAAGTGGGATTCCGACCTGCACAGCCCCCAGAGAGGCCTACAGCTCCCGGCGTGTCGGCCCCGGCTCTCCCGCTCCGGTATCCACCTCAGAAAGAGCCCGAGTCTGACGGGGCGGACGGACCCTAGGAGGGCAAGGCCCGGAGGAGCCCTTTCCAGGTCACACCAGCGCGCGCTTCCGGAGCCCGTTACTCGAGTGGGCGAGCCCCGAGGAGCAACCATGAAGGTAACTGGCCAGAGAAGAGGAGAGGGGCGGGAGGAAGCGGGAAGTCCCGTCTCAGGCCCCGCCTCCGACAAATCAGAGTCGCCACACGGCCTGGTCCCTCCCTCGGGGCGTTCGGGCGCCCTGCTCGCCTGGTTCCTGGGCGCAGTAGCGTCTGGACCGTTGCCCCCTCCGCTTGTCTCCTTTCCGTCTGGTCTCGGGGCAGCTCCGACGCGGAAAGAGGAGTAGTTTGACTGCTGAGGAGCCAGGGCCCGGCAAGATCTAGAGGCCCGAGACCCAGAGACAGACTATCGGATACAGTAAAGCCACACCCGTGGATAGGACGGGCTCCAGAGCTGGTGGGCAGCGAGGAGCCCGAGGGAATGAACTAGTATTGGACTTAAGAGTCTGCGCTTCCTAGCTCTGCGACCCCTAGCAAGTCCCTCAACCTTAGTTTCCTCCCCTGTAAAATGGGGATAATAACAGCCTCTACCTCCTAGGGTTGTGAGCACCAAAGTGGTTAACTTGAGTCAAGTGGTAATAATAAATTTTATAAGGTATATATTCTTTAATACTCACAGCAACCCTAGGAGGTAGGAGTTGCCATCCCCGGTTTAACAATGAAGAAACTGAGGCAGACAGCGATTGAGTGACTTTCCAGGGCCACTTAGCTAGTCAGTTTGGACTTGAACTCAAGTCTTTAAGACTCCAGGACCAGCACGCTAGCCATTAGGCAAACTGGCTGCATCTCTTCCAAAATTTAATTATCATTACTTCTGCTGGGAGTGCCTGTTGATGACATAGTTTTTTAATGCTTTGTTGAGATTCTCATTTGGTGCACTCCTGTAGTGCTGGGTGTGGAGTGGAGGAGGAAATTCATGTCTTTGGCTTGGCTTTCCCATAAACCGTACATTAACCTTGTTTTTCTAAATAGCAGTTGTTTCTGTTTTGGCTAGAAATCCTGAAGGTCTTCCTCTTCCGGACTGATATTGTTTGTTTGTTTTGACTAGGTAAAAGAGGCCATTCTTTACCTCATTTCCTACCTAGTCTTAATCACTGAATGGGCACTGCCTCAAGACAAACTGTGACCTAAGAAAGACCTTAGTTTGAGAAGACCGAGATTTCCCATTGCATGGGGGACATCTCCTGTCCTCCTGATCTGTATCTTGCCACTGGACCCAGGTGGCTCCAGAAGAGAGAGTGAAGCTAGCTGGTAACTTTGCACAGCCCTGCCTCACTTAAGCCCAATAAACTTGCAAGCTGTGACATCACCTTCCTGATGTCATTGTTCCTCTTTGAGAAGGACAAACAACAACATTAACATTATAAAACTAAAGGCAATTTGACAATGACTTGTTAGCTTTGAAGAAAAGACCAAACTAACCCAAACCAAAACAAAACCTAAATAAACCACAGAAGGGGAGGTAGCATTGGTGTGTTGCAGTAGAAAGAACTCTGGATTTTTGCTTCAATCTGGGTTCTTCCACTTAATAGCTGTGTGACTGAGGACATGCTATTTAACCTCTCTGGGCCTCAATTTCTTTACCTGGGTTGGAGCAGTTGGCCTCTGAGGGCCCTTCCTCAAGCTCTCAAATTATGATTCCTCTTCTATCTGTAAGGCCTAAAAACAACATAGTCAAAATTGAATGCAAAAGGGATGTTTTTGAGCACTTATCAATTCAGCATGTTGCTGAGTCAGTGAGAGATGGCCAGGGAAAAATTTCTGACTGAATGGAAACAATGTTTTGAGAAATTTTACTAGAGGAGGGACAGTAGTCAGGAAAAATAATTGGCCATTGTAATAGCTCAGAGTGTAGGATTTTGTGGGAATTTAAAAGAAGGGCTTATTTTGCATTTGCTTACTTGTTTGAACTTCCTATACCATCTACTCTCCTATAGCTGCACTCACTATGCCCTTAATAAACCAGAACCAAGTGCTCCTCTCAGGCCAGCACTTCCTGTAATGCAAGGATAGACTTGCTTTTTTATTTGTATCCTCAATGAGCTCTTAGCACAGTGCTTGGCACATAGTAAGCATTTAATAAATGTTTTTTCATTCATGTATCACTTCCCCCAAAGTCTATAAAGGTGCTCTGATACTAAAGCAGTGTTTGTTGAATTGATAAACTTTCAGGCAGTCTGAGCCTAGAGCATGGCTCTTTGAGGAGTAAAAATAGAATAGGTTGTATGTAAAGATGGAAGGAGTTGGAAAACTCAAAGAGAATGTATCTACTTCTTCAGAAATTTAACAATAGCCCAGAGTTTATTTCTTGTACTCATTCTATAGAAAATCTCCCAGGGAGTCTACTTTTTATGACAGCTCATCTTACATGCCAGACCATGAAATTTTTAAAAAAATTTGTTTATTTAGCAGATTAAGACAACATGCCTCAAAAATTGGAAACATTTTTAAAAGGAGGCATATGATCACCTTATTAAATATAGTCTATGGTGAGATAAATATATAAAACATTTACTAACCGCTTAGCACTATGCTAAGATCAGAAGAGGAATACAAGATACCAGATTAGACAGTCCCTGCCCTAACTGAATTTATATTGTAATGGAGGGAAGACTGGAAAAGGCAGAGGGAAGGTAGTAGGGAAACTGCTGGGGAGGAAGCAGAGGAGTCTGGAGAAAGTAGAGCTAGCAGTGGTGCACATGAATGTGTCTTCTCTTGAAGTGGTAGGCCAAGCTAAGTACTCATCCATCAGGAAGCAGGGCTCAGGGTGGAGGTATCTCCAGGGGTGGGGAACCCGCTGGCCACGCATCATAAGTCCTGAAAGTGAGTAGAACTGTCAGCAAAGTAAGCATGGCTAGAACCCATCATGAAATGGTGGTCCAATATATTTAGAACTGAAGTCCTTGAAAAAAAGAAACCACAAAGACAATAAATATGGTCAAATACATATATTGTTTTTGCCTCCTGAGTTATACCTGTACAATACAAATTTGTTGTTTTAGGCAGTTTCCTAATTTGAGGTCACTGCTATTCCAGCCACCAGATACAGTAGATCTGTGTACAGTCTGAAGATTTAAAATGGTGTTGCTCTTATTTGGTTACTAAGTTTTAAATACTTAGTTTAAGGACTTTTTAGTGTCTTGAGAATGTGTACTTTGAACAGATTTAGACAGGTATAAAAGGTTATACAAATGCAGCTCTTAATTGAATCCTGAGATTAGTTTGTGGGCAGATTTTGGCTATAAATTGTGTTTCAAATCAGTAGAATAATTGTTTTGGAGTACTTTCCTGAATAATTCATTGGAAGTATTTGGTTGATTATACAATGAAAAATTATATTTAGGTGCAATTATCATAGTTATTAGTAGTGATGAAAGAAGAAATAAAAGATTATGTTCCGGCTGTGTGTTAATTTCATTAAAATCTAACATCTATAAGCATTATCATTTCCTCTGACTTTTCCTTTTTAAAAAAATTTTTTATCTTGCACAATACTTACAAGGGTTTATTTTTGACAGTTGGCACAAATTTAAAGAGATATACTTTGGAAAATATGAGACAAGCTTTTTATTTTTTTTGAAGGTCAATCAAGTCAATAGTTGAAAAGTAGTGGCTCATTAGGATTGTGATTCTTGGATGCAGTATTAAAACTTATAACCGTATGCTCAGGTGTTCCAAAGAGGTTTCAAAATTCTTGGGTTCTTTGACCACACTAAGAAATGAAAAATCAATTTCATTAGTTAACATCTGATTTTTCAACTAAATAAATATTTAAATGCCTACAATATGCAGAGTCTTGGGGAAAATGCTAGAGATATGATAAGCAAAACAATCCCAACTCTTGAGAAGCTTCCAATATGTGATCCATATATAAGACCTGTGTTCAAATATGGACTCATAGACTTACTAGTTATATGACCCTGGGCAAGTCATTTAACCTCTCTCTACCTTAAATCCCTTATCTGTAAAATGAGGATAATAATAGCACCTGTCTTCTGGGTTTGTTCTGAGAATAAAATGAACTAATATTTGTCAAGTTTTTTGCAAATGTTAAAGTGTTAAATAAATGCTAGCTATTGTATAAAAGGTCACATCATGAAAAAAATTAAAGGAGACTGGAAGTATTTTACAGAACTATGGCTAAAAAGGAAGTACTTAAAGGATAGAAACGGTCATAAAAGATAAACTAGACGATTCCAGTTACATAAAATTAAGGATGTTTTGTTGCATGGAAGAAAAATTCTTTGCATCAAATGTCTCCCACCCTGTTTTATATATACATACATATATATATATATACATATTATATATATATATATACATATTATATATATATGTGTGTGTGTGTGTGTGTGTGTGTATTCAAGAATTGAATTGATTCAAATAGATGAACTATTTCCTAGTAGCTAAGTAGTCAAAGGGTATGAATAATTTTTTAAAAAAAGAAAACTATCAACAAGTATAAGGAAGGTTGCTTCAAATAACTAATAAAAATGCAAATTAAAAGAATTGAGGTTTTACTCTGTAACCCTCAAAGTGGCAAAATGTCAGCCTGGTGAAGAATGCTGACTTAAGTCAAAGGACCTTATTTCAAATAAGACCTATGTACTTACTAACTATGTGACTTTGGGCAAGGAAGTCTCTTAACCTCAGTTTCCTCATCTGTAAAATGAGGTTAGATTCAATAGTCTTTGAGGTCTTTTCCAATTAAAAATATAGTAACCATTGATCATAGCTGATCAAAGAAGGAAATAGTTAATGTTGATGAGAACACTTGAATACAGGCACAATAATTCACTATTAATGGAGCTGTGTATTGCCCCCAGTGATTCTTGGGAACAATTTGGAATAATGTTTAAAAAAAAGTCACTGAACCCCTTTGGTCCAGTTATCCCACCACTTGACAGATATCCCAAGAAAGTAAAAAAAAAAAAAAACAAAACAATAAGGCCTCAAATGTGCCAAAATAGCCATAGCAACCCTTTTTGTGGTGGCAAAAAACTGGAAACAAGTTA